AACAGGCCGTGCAAAAATCAGTGCTCTGCGGAATTTTGAAAATTTCAAGGCGCTTCGTCTGTCAAATTCGCTTTTTGGCGTTTTCATTCCGCGGGCCAAGAAGTTAACAGCCATGGCCTGCTAATGGTCGCTGTAGGAGACCCCCTCACTACTACTACTACTACTACTACTACTACTACTACTACTACTACTACTACTACTACTACTACTACCACTCCTACTACTAATACTACTACGACCAGTACTACTACTACTACTGCTACTACTACTACTACTACTATTACTACTACTACTACTACTACTACTACTACTACTACTACTACCACTACTACTACTCCTTTTCTACTACTACGGCTACTACTACCACCGCTACTACTACTACTACTACTACTACCACTACTACTACTACTACTACCACTACTACTACTACTACTACTACTATTCTTACTACTACTACTACTACTACTACTACTATTACTATTACCACGACTACTACTACTACTACTACTACTACTACCATGTCCACGACTACATGAACTGTTATCCATAGTATTACCACTACTGCGACAACTATGATTGCACTTACTACTACTGCTACCAGTACTGCTACTGCTACTTCTAGCACTGTGGCAATTACTACTACTTCTACTACATTTAGACCTGCTACTACTACCATTGCTACTTTCACGGCTTTTACTGCCATTGCGACTACTCCTATTTCCCCAATTGCCATTACTATTACCTCTACTGCTATTATTCCTCCCTTCCTCCGCCTTTGACCATTACTACTACTACTACTACTACTACTACTACTACTACTACTAGTACTAGTACTAGTACTAGTACTAGTACTAGTACTAGTGCTATTACTACTGGTAATATTATTATGATTATCATTGCGACTAGTACTATTACAGCAACATCAACTACTACGACTGGTACTACTACGATTACTACTAATACTAGTATTACTACTGCTGATACTACTGCCACTACTACTACTACCACTACTACTACTACTACTACTACTACTACTACTACTTCTATTACTACCAGTGGTACTACCACTACTACGACTACTTGTATTACTACTACTACTACGACTACTACTACTACTGCTACTACTACTACTACTAATACAACAACAACTTCTACTACTACTACTACCGGCACTACCACTACTACTAGTACTATTACTACTACTACTATTACTACTTCTGCTACTACTACTACTACTACTACTACTACTACTACCTACTACCTAGTACCTACTACCTACTACCTACTACCTACTGCCTACTACCTACTACATACTGTCTACTACCTACTACCTACTGCCTACTACATACCACCTGCTACCTACTACCTACTACTACCACGACTTTAATTACGGGGACTATTGCTATTAATACTACTACTACCACTACTACTACTACTACTACTACTACTACTATTACTACTACCACTACTACTACTACTACTACTACTACTACTTCTACCACTACTACCAGTCTTCTACTACTGCGGTGGCTACCGCTACAACCAAGTTTGGTGATGATGACGGAGTTGGTATTTCTGGTGGTTGTCGTGGTGACGATGTTGTTGTTGATGTTGGTGATTGTGATGGTGGTGCTAATGCTGTGGACGATTGTCATGATGATAATGCCGAGCCTGATAATAATGAAGTATGTGATCACGATGACGAAGGTGACGATGCTGATGATGATGGTGGTCATTATGAGGATGTGGGTGATCATGAGGTAAGAGAGACCGATACGCAACCAGACAATTAGAAAACAACAGAAAATGGATGAGAAGGAGGAGGAAGAAAAACACAATGAGGTGCCGATGGAGGGATGCGTGGTGCGTGGGATTTGGGTCGGCGGGGGGGGGGCGCAGGAAGGGATGAGGGGGGCCAGGCTGGAAGAAGATGGGACATTCATGAAACGATGGGTGGCGGGGCAACACAATGCAGTGATGCCGGAGGGCGAAGTGTGAGATACGAACTTCGGATGTTCCATGGTTGATGAGAGGGACGAGGGAGCTGCGGACAGTTGGACGGGAGGTGTGCGACTGCAGGAAAGCGAGAGGTCGTGTCGGAGGAAGGTCAGATGGCATGGATGGACTGATGGAAGGATGACGATGCGGAGTGATGGCGAAAAATGGAAGAGCAGAGCGTTTTCTCCCTCTTCCGTACGGATTCCGTAGTCTCCCCCCCTTCCCACTCGCCTTCTCATCATTATGTCCCTTTCCCTCCCCGTTCTCGCTCTTCCTGATGCCGCCTCGCTCCTCCTCCCCCCTCCCTTCTCCCCCAAGTCGTCTCCTTCCCATTACTGCTTCCTCCTCCTCCCGCCTCGTTCTTCCTCCACCCTCCCCTCTCCCCCCATTCGTCTCTTCATCCTCAGTGCTCCTTCCTGAGCATCACTGCAATCTTTCAAGAAACTGATTTTGACAAATTGCGATCGCTAATCTCCCACGGCTCTGGCCGTCTCGGTGGTCCATTGCCCCTCCGGGCGAAGGCGCAGCCGCTGTTCGAGTTCTGGGGGCAGATGAAGGACTCTAAGGGGGGTCAAGCGTCTCAAGACGTGAAGGCCCAGAGATCCGACGCTCCAAAAACATCAAGCGACAAAAGCTTCGGCCGTGTTCGGCCTCCAGACGCCTTCGCTGGACCCTGGGACAGTCGAAGACCGATTCAGGACGAGAAGCAGGTCCCAGGGAAGCGGTCTTGACCTCTGGGGCCCACGCATCTACAAAAATTGGAGCAGCCGGGTGTTTGGGGAGGAGTGGTGTCACATGCGCCCTGCAGTCGTTCTGGCCTGCCAAGCGCAGCCCCTGACCCAGACCGAGGGGCAACCTCGCCCAGATGCTACGATCCAAGACCAGGGTTTGCCAGACTTGCGACCCCAGACCGGTCTGGGCCCCTGACCCAGACGGGTCTGTGGCGGGACAGGGCGCCAGGACACGGCGCCAGGACGGGGCGCCAGGACGGGGCGCCGGTGGGGGGTGGGGTGCGCCGCAGCGCTGGCGCCAGGGCCAACCCCGCGCGCGCCACTGGCCGGGCGAGGCCCAGGGAGGAAAGGGGGATTAGGCGGAGGTGAAGGAGGAGGAGGAGGAGGAGGAGGAGGAGGAGGAGGAGGAGGAGGAGGAAGAGGAGGAGGAGGAGGAGGAGGAGGAGGGAGGAGGAGGAGGAGGAGGAAGAGGAGGAGGAGGGAGGAGGAGGAAGAGGAGGAGGAGGAGGAGGAGGAGGAGGGGGGGCAAAGATTGCTCCTCCTCCTCCTCCTCCTCCTCCTCCTCACCTCCTCCGAAGGTTGAGCGATCCCTGCAACCAAAGCACTAGTTGTTTCACGACACGAGCCAGCCGTGCACCCTTTGCTTGTCGCCCCTTCTCTCCCCCTTTGTCATGGCGCCAACATCGCAGAGCGGATCTCGTTCGGCAAACGGTAGGCTGGGCCCGGAGTGCCCTGGAGAATTTTGCTCCAGTCTTCGGGGTGCACTCCGTGCGGTGCGGACTTTTTTTGGCCAGGAATGAAGACTAAAACAAGTCCACGCGATGTTTCACCACTTCGTGTTTCGCTTACCGCTTCGAGGTCGTGCATCGACAGATATCCACGCGCAACTCCGCTGCAGCACGTCTGCAGGGTCGGTGCAGTGAGCGGGAGGAGGATGTCCAAGTCCAGCCGCCCCGACCGAACCCGAAGGAACGGTTGGGGTGACGGAGGGGGAGGTGGGTGAGGAGGCGAGTGGGAGGGGGACGGCTGCTCTTGCTGCGCCCCCAGAGGCGCGAAAAGAGCCATCCGCCGCAGCTTTCTGTGCGCAAGCTGGCGTGCCCACGTTCTGCTTCGGGACCACCGAGGAACATCCGTTCCTTTCTCCTCGTCCTCCTCTGTTACTCTTACTCCAGATTTCGTAATAAAAGGGAGGGGGTCTAGACCCTCCAAGAAAAGCCGTTTCAGACCTCCCCCGAGGGAGAACCCTCCAAAACATCGTCCCCAGACCCCCCAGGCCCTCCAAGATAGCCTGGAAGTGACCCCCCCCGAAATGAGACCCCCCTCCCTTTATTACGAAATCTGGAGTACCTATTTATCAACCATCTGAACAATACTCTTCTATCTCTCCGGGATATGTCCTGAGAGTGCTTGCCCCACCGCCCCCCTTCCGTGTGATGTTTTCTACGCGCGATTTGCGTATCCGAGTTTTCTCTCCTGCTTTCTCAATGCGATCCCTCCGCGTCCTGCTTTTCACGCTGGATTTGCGCGAACCTCGCTGCTACGTGGGCCTAGTTTTCGGATCGGCGTTGTGCTTCCGTTGTTCAGAATGGCGCTTCGGCCCCAGCGTGAGCTACTTTTCTGGATCCCGCAGGTCTCGCAGGCACCACCGGTACCACAGGACCCACAAGTGTCGCAGGTCGTCCCACAGGTCCCACGGGTAGCTCCAGTCTGATAGGTTCCGTAGGTACCACAGGTGTCACAGGTGTCACATGCCCACAGGTTCAACAGGTCCGACAGGTCCCGCAGGTCCCAGAGGTCCCAGAGGCGTCGCATGTTTCACAGGTCCGACAGGAGTCCCCCAGGTTCCGCAGTTCTGCAGGTCCCACCCGTGTCAGGGGTCCCCCATGTCCCGCAGGTATCACAGGTCTCGTCCCACAGGTTTTGCAGATCTATGTGTTCCACAGGTCCCACAGGTGTCGCAGGTCTCACGGCTCCACATGCCACAGAGGTCCATCAGGTCGCACAGGCCCCACAAGTTTCCCTTGCCCGACTGCGCATATCACGGGGTCTTCTGTGGAGTTCAAGGTCGGCCATGACACGCGTTCGCGGATCAAGAACAATCAGTGCACTACGAAGGGATGGGATGGAGGGGTAGGATCTCGGATATGGTGCCTGCGCGCCCAGCTTGTCTCCTCCCCCTCCTCCTCCCTCCTTCTCGTCCTCCTACCTCCTCCTTCCTGGGACGGGGGCCGGCGAGGGCAGGAACCTCTCGCCCCCGCCGCCGGTTAGGAGATGCACCGGGAGGACCTGCTCACCAAGCAGCAGGTGGCCCAGCTCCCGCGTTCCCCCCCCCCTCTCTGCCCCACCCCCCCTTTCCAGCGGTCCAGGAGGGGGAGGGGGGGGGGGGAGGAGGGTGGGAGGAGGGAGGGGGAGGGAGGAGGTGGAGGATGGAAATGGAGCAGGGAGGTGGGGGGGGGGATCAGGAGGGGGGGGAGGAGGTGGTGGAGGAGGGAGGCGACGGGAGGAGGTGGATGGGGGAGGTGGAGGAGGGAGGGGGAGGGGTGGGAGACCGAAGGAGGAGGCGGCAGGCAGGAGGCAGGCAGGGGGGGGCGGGGAAATCAGGAGAAGGAGCGGGGAGGGGAGAGGGAGGGACGGGGGCGAGAGAGAGGGCGGGCAGGGCGGGAGAGAGGAAGGAATGAATGGAGGAGGGACCTGAGGAGAAGGAGGCGGAGGAGGAGGAGGACCAGTGTAAACCCAAGAGTCATCACCGATGTTGGAATTAACCCTTCCTCCAAGCTCCCTCATATGCCCCTACAACGGTTTGTTTCCATTGAGGGAACTGCCTCGTTGGAGGACAACCGATTGAGGATCCTGAAGAATGCCATAACATTGATCTCGGGAGTTCAACGCCACGGATCAACCTGACTGTTGCGTCTTGACGATCCGGAATCGTGCCAGAACGCCGTTTTTGGGACGTCAACACCGCGAATCAACATAATTGATGCACCCATGTAATCCTAAATCCTTCAAGACGCCATGTCTGGTACGGTAATCATGGGCAGCCGTGACACTTTCGTATTTGTTGGAGGGAATGTTCGGAATGTGTGCCCGGGCGGACAATGTGATGACCTGGGGTCGGTTTTTGGAAGGTTGTGAGAGATTTGAACATTCGCTTTCAGAACCAGTATTTTTCTTACGTATAGTGGGTTATCTCGCGTCTGTCTGTGAAATTCTCAGGTCCATAGCTGCAGTTTTATCATCAAAAGACGTAGGGGGACCAACTTCGTCTAAACCCCCCATAAATACATTCTTCGAAGCTGATGTTCAAGGATGCTCCCTCCTCGTAATCGGAACACTGATTTGCGTGTTAAGAGCTCGACGAGGGTCCCGGCGGTAACCTGGTTGACGGTTTAACGCCGGCTCCCAGTTACTCTTACGCTTCGCCGCTTCGCTCCGAGGGAAGCTCTACGAGTTACTGGGAGCCGGCGGTAAACCGTCAACCAGGTTACCGCCGGGACCCTCGTAGAGCTCTAAACACGCAGATGAGTGGTCATATTACGAGGAGAGAGCTTTCTTCAATATCAGTTTAAATACTCGCAACATGTATTTTCTGGAGTTCTATACGGAGTTGGTTCCGCCAACTGTTTCGATAGTACCTCGTAGAGCTCTTCGGCATCGATGAGCTAGAGGAATTCCGGCGCAGGGTGGAGCCAGTACCTCGTAGAGCTCTTTGGCATCGATGAGCTACAGGAATTCCGGCGCGGGGTGGAGCTAGTTGACCAACCCAGCCCGGGCGGACAATGTGATGACCTGGGGTCGGTTTTTGGAAGATTATGAGAGATTTGACCATTCGTTTGAGAACCAGTATAGTGGGTTATTTCGCGTCTGTCTGTGAAATTATCAGGTCCATAGCTGCAGTATTGTTATCAGAAGACGTAGGGGAACCATCTTCGTATGAAACCCGACATATATTATATACATTTTGCGAGTTTTTGAAAACGACCCGCCCTCATTCCGTGAAGCTCTTGCAAATGTTTAGAACGAGTGTGCGCGGCGCTAAAGCGAGAGCCACATTTTGAAAACGACCCGCCCTCAATCCGTGAAGCTCCTGCACATGTTAAACAAGAGTGTGCGCGGCGCTAAGGCGAGAGCCACATTTAAAAAAAACGACCCGCCCTCAATCCGTGATGCTCTTGCACATGTTAAGAAAGAGTGTGCGCGGCGCTAGAGGGAAAACCACATTTTGAAAACGACCCGCCCTCAATCCACGAAGCCCTTGCGAATGCAACAACGAATTTGCGCGGCGCTAAGGCGAGAGTCACATTTCGAAAACGACCCGCCCTCATTCCGTGAAGTTCTTGCAAATTTCGAAAAACGAATGTGCGCGGCGCTAAGGCGAGAACCGCATTTTGAAAACGAGCCGCCCTCAATCCACGAAACTCTTGCATTTCCTCAACACGAATGTCCGCGGCGCTGGGGCGAGAACCACATTTTGAAAACGGCCCGCCCTCAATCCATGAAGCTCTTGCAATGTTCTAAACCGAATGTGCGCGGCGCTGAAGCGATAACCACATTTTGAAAACGAGCCGCCCTCAGCCCGTGAAGCTTATGCAACTGTTGAGACCAAATGTGCGCGGCGCTAAAGCGGAAGCCACATTTTGACAAACCCTCTATCGGTGAAGCTGTTGCAAATTTGTGAGCGTCATAATCGTATATGGTGGGGAATTCTAGGGCAAAGCGCCTGGCCCGCCTTAAACACTGACCTTGGGGTGCGACGGGGAAGAGTTATTCATGAGGATAAGGAATGGAGGAGGAGGAGAAGGAGGAGGAGGAGGAGGAGGAGGAGGAAGAGGACGAGAAGGAGGAGGAGGAGGACGAGGAGGAGGAGGAGAAAGAGGAGGAGGAGGAGGAGGAGGAGCAGAGGACGAGGAGAGGAAACGGAAAAGGAGGAGGAGGGGAGGAGGAAGAGGAGGAGGAGGAGGAGGAGGAGGAGGAGGAGGAGGAGGAGTGGACGAGGACGAGGAGGAGGAGGAAGAGGAGGAGGAAGGGGAGGAGGAGGAGGAGGAGGGAGGAATTGGAGGAGGAGGAGGAGGAGAAGGAGGAGGAGGAGGAGGAGGACGAGGAGGAGGAGGAGGAGAAGGTGGAGGAGGAGGAGGAGGAGGAGGAGGAGGAGGAGGAGGAGAGGAGTAGGAGGAGGAGGAGAAGAGGAGGAGGAGGAGGAGGAGGAGGAGGAGGAAGAAGAGAAGAAGAGGAGGAGGAGGAGGAGGTGGAGGAGGAGGGGGACGAGCAGGAGGAGGAGGAGGAGGAGGAGGAGGAGGAGGAGGAGGAGGAGGAGGAGGAGAGGAGGAGGTGGAGGAGGAGGAAGAGGAGGGATGGCGGAGAGGGCACCAGGCGCTTTCGATTTTTTTGCACGACGCTTCCATACTACCTCATCGCCCTCTGCTTCCTCTTAGGAGGTTGGGTTGGACGGGGAGGAGTGTAGAGGCATCGAAGGAGGGAGATGAGCAGGGCGAGGGGAATGAGGGTGGGAGGAGCGGGGGTAGCATGGGGATGGATTCGCTTTCCTTCCTCTCCCGCTTGATCTTGCCGTTTCTCTCTTCATTCCTCTTTAGTCTTAATTTTTCTGTCTTTCTCATCCCCCACATGCTTCAACCGTCATGCTACTCCTCATGTTGTTCCATTTTATATGATCGTCTTCTTTCTTTCCCGTCTCGGCATCTTTCCTTCGGCCCAGGCCCTCGAAGTCCTTGCGATGCCACTGATGACCCTTGTCTATTTTCTTCCTGTTGCTCGTCCTCCTGTTGAGGTTGAGGAGAAGGAAGAGCGGGGAGGAGGAGGGGAAAGAGGAGGACACGACCATCTATAACGAAGGCTACGAAGACGAGGTTCCATACCATCGATGCTCATGGAACCACCTTCCCCGCACCGTGTAAGTCGCCGCGCTGTGGGTGGGTGCGCTATGCGGTGCAAGCTGCGCGGTAAAAGCTACGTGGTGTAAGCTCGGTGGTGCAAGCTCTGTGGTGCAAGCTCTGTGGTGCAAGCTGTGCGGTGCAACCTCGACGGACCCCCCAGGCGTGTGGAGCGGCAGCGAGGCGGCAGCGTGCGGTGACAGCGCGAGGCGTCGACGGACCCCCCAGGTGGGCGGCACCCGGGCGGCAACGGGCGGCGCCGGGGCGAGGCCTCGATTCGTCTCTCGAGCAGGCGGCAGCGGGGCGGCCACGGGCGGCGATGGCGGCGACTCTTCGGCGGACGCCCCCAAGCAGGGCAACTTGGGGGCGGTGCGGCGCAAAACCTCGGCGGGCCCCCGGAATGTGGTCGGCGACGGGGCGGCAGCGGGCGGCGACTCGGCGCAAAACTTCGACGGAGGCCCCCAAGTGGGTGGCAGCTGGGCAACAAATGCGGCAGCGAGGCGGCAGCGAGCGGCAGCGAGCGGCGAAAGACATCGGCGGCTCCCCCAAGGGGGCGGCAACCGGGCGGCAGAGGGCAGCGACTCGGCAAGACCTTGACCGATAAACCCCGCGTGGGCGCCGAGAGTGAGGCGACAGCGGGCGGCGGCGCGGCAAAACTCCGATGGGGGAGGAGGATGAGGAGGAGGAGGAGGAGGAGGAGGAGGAGGAGGAGGAGGAGGAGGAGGAGGAGGAGGAGGAGGAGGGGGAGGGGAGGAGGGGGAGGAGGAGGAGGAGGAGGAGGAGGAGGAGGAGGAGGAGGAGGAGGAGGAGGAGGGGGAGGAGGAGGAGGAGGAGGAGGAGGAGGAGGAGGGGAGGAGGAGGAGGAGGAGGTGTAGGAGGAGGAGGAGGAGGAGGAGGAGGAGGAGGAGGAGGAGGAGGAGGAGGCTGGGATCTCCGGGGCCGCACGCCGCCTCCCAGCCTCGGGCCCATCCAATTCCTGGATGGTCGTTTTTCTTATTCCTTGTTTTGCCAGTCAGCGCGGGCCCTCGCACCCCCCTCCCCACCCCCCAATGGAGCGGACCTTGGCTGTTTTTGGCGCCTCCTTTGAGCAGGGGGAGCCAGACCCCCCCCTGCCGCCCCCCCCTCCGCCTACTGTCGAAGCGCCGGATGAGAACACGTTGATGAGTAACAGACGAAGAACTCCCAGGTGTGAACACTTTCGGGGAATGAGGTGAACACTACTTGTGCGAATGATCGCAGTATTTGGGCCATCTGAACCATAACACAGCCACATTGACACCAGGTCCAAGAGAAAGACGAGCGGAGGGCAAGACAGACGAGGACGAGGGCGAGGCGCGGGAGGAGCCCTTTCCTCTCCCCCCGCCCTCCCGCTGGCAACCCTCCTCCTGCTCTCCCCGCACGAGAAGAGTCCTGCCCTCTTGTAGAGGGTTCAGGCGCGGGACGCTGCAGCAACGACCGCAGCGGCCTCCTCCACAGCAGGCCCGTGATAGCTTGTTACCCATCGGTTTGGCCTCAATCGGCATCACCGAAGTACACGCCAGTCGTTGAAAGTAGGTATTTCTGGATTCCCAGATCCCAATCTACTTCAAGCGCGTTCCTACTTCAAGAATCGGCATGATTTTGCTGTGCTTTGTTATTCTCTGGGAGGGCCTGGACCCAATCAACTTTATCCGCCTTCCTACTTCATGTTTTTACCTACTTCTTCCGACCGACGGGTAGATCCATGCTACGTGTGCATCTGCACCCCAGGTGCGACGCGCGCGGAAAGGAATCTTCTAGTATAGGCTCCGTGGCGGGTGCCTTCTGGCCATACCGCTCGGGAGCCGACATGCTGCGAGATCGTCATGCTATCTGTTCGGGTCAGACGCACGCCTCCAGGAAGGACACATAGTACAAGTGTGTCCTTGTGCGTCCCACTCAACGGACTCGCTGACCTCCCCCCCATCAATGTGCCCCGGAAGTGGCAGGGACGTGGGCCGTTGTTTGACCGTTTCCGAAGAAGGGCAACATTGAATCAGCGACCAGAAGTACAAACGTAGCCGGAACCGGCAACAAATGCGGCAAGACGGAATCGGTAACAAAACCAGTTTTGTCGTTTCCAGGGCCCACTACGCCTCCCCCTCCCAGCCTCCGCAGGTGGAGGGGGTGTTGATGCGCCTCACGGAGCCCTGTACCGTGTCGCTCCTGCAATACGTCCGCCGCGACGCGCCTGCGGTGCTCTCAGGCTGCGCGCCCGAGGACGGGCGCGGAGGAGCAGGAGGAGGAGGAGGAGGAGGTTCAGGAGGAGGAGGAGGAGGAAAAGGAGGAAGAGGAGGCAAAGTGGCGTAGGAGGAGGAGGTGGAGGAGGAGGACGAGGAGGAGGACGAGGACGATGAGGATGAGGACGAAACGAGGCGAAGGATGAGGATGCGGAACTACCATCATGCCCTTCCTATATTTGCCGAAACGCTCAGGGGGAGAGGGGGGCCACACCTCAAGGCGCAAGGTCTTTCGGACGAGGAGGAAGATGAGGAGGAAAAGGAGGCAGAGGAGTAGGAGGAGGAGGAGGAGGGAGGAGAAGGAGGAGGAGGAGGAGGATAAGCAGGAGGATGCGGAACTCTCAACATGCCCTGCCTACATTTGCCGAAACGCCCCGGGGGAGAGGGGGGCCAAACCTGAAGGCGCAAGAACTTTGGGACGAGGAGGTGGAGGTTAAGGAAGAGGAGGAGGAGGAGGAGGAAAAGGAGGCGGAGTGGCGTAGGAGGAGGAGGAGGAGAAGGAGGAGAAGGCGGAGGATGAGGTGGAGGAGGAGGAGAAGGAGGAGGAGGAGGAGGAGGAGAAACAGGAGGCGGAGGAGGAGCAGCAGCAGGAGGAGGAGGTGGAGGAGGAGGAGGAAGAGGAGGATGAGGAGGAAGAGGAGGATGCGGAACTACCAACGTGCCCTGCCTACATTTGCCGAAACGCCCCAGGGAGAGGGGGGCCAAACCTGGAGGCGCAAGGTCTTTGGGACGAGGAGGAGGAGGAGGAGGTTGAGGAGGAGGAGGAGGAAGAAGAGGAGGAAGTGGAGGAGGAGGTGGAGGAGGAGGTTAAGGATGAGGAGGAGGAAAAGGAGGCGGATGATGAGGAAGGGCAGGAGGAGGCGGAACTACCAACATGCCATGCCTACATTTCTCGAAACGCCCCGGGGGAGAGGGGGGCCAAACCTGAAGGCGCAAGAACTTCGGGACGAGGAGGTGGAGGTTAAGGAGGAGGAGGAGGAGGAGGAGGAGGAGGAGAAGGAGGAGTAAGAGGAGGCATAGTGGCGTAGGAGCATGATGATGATGAGGAGGAGGAGGGTGTGGAGGAGGAGGTGGAGGAGGAGGAGACAAGGAGGGGGAGGATGAGGAGGAGGAGGAGGAGGAGGAGGGTGTGGAACTACCAACATGCCCTTCTACATTTGCCGAAACGCCCCGGGGGAGAGGGTTGCCAAACCTCATGGCGCAAGGTTTTTGGGAGGAGGAGGAGGAGGTTCAGGAGGAGGAGGAGGTGGAAAAGGAGGAGGAGGAGGCATAGTGGCTCATTTGCTCGATGCGCGAACCCCGCTGTGCTAAGCCTGGAGGCATAGTGGCTCAGGAGGAGGAGGTGGAGGAGGAGGAGGAGGAAAAGGAGGAGGATGAGGAAGCGGAGCAGGAGGTTTCGGAACTTTCAACGTGTCCTGCCTACAATTGCCGAAACGCACCAGGGCAGAGGGGGGCCACACGTGAAGGCGCAAGGTCTTTGGGACGAGGGGGAGGAGGAGGAGGAGGAGGAGGAGGAGGAGGAGGAGGAAGAGGAAGAGTTGACGAGGGTTGGAGAAGATGAAGAGGAGGAGGAGAGGAGGAGGAGGAGGAGGAGGGGGTGGGAGAAGCTGAAGAGGAGGAGGAAGAGGAGGAGGAGGTGGAGGAGGAGGAGGAGGAGGAGGAGGAGGAGGAGGAGGAGTCGCCAGGAAGGACAGGGGTCCCGAGGAAGCGGGTCCTGAGGTGTCGCTCCGCTCTCGGGCTCTGGCGGCCCTCCACGGGCCTCGGGGACCGTCAGCACAGCAAATCGGGATGAAGGCATGTCCCGAGCTCCCATTTCCATCAGACTCAGTTTTCTTCTTTGGAGAGGGTGGGGATGACCAGTGTAAACCCAGCGCGCGTCACCGATATCGGAATAAGCCCTCCATTCGAGTTCCCTCTTCGCATGTCCCTGCAGGCAGTGCTCCGATGAAAGACAGCCGTCTGAAAATCCTCAACAGTTCGAACACACAGTTCCTGGGATTTTGACCCAGATATTAACTTGAGTATTGCATCTTGAAAATCCCAATCGTGCCAGAACGCCCCTCCTGGAATTCCAACACCGCCAATCTCCGCTTATCAACGTGACTGTAGCGCTCTGACAACCCTACACTGTGCCAGAACACCGTTCCTGGGCTTCAACCCTGCGAAACCTTGAAATTGCTGCAGAATTAGACGAATTTGCGCGGCGTCCAGGCGAGAGCCACATTTTGAAAACACACCGGCCTCTATGCTTGAAGCAACTGCGAATTGTCAATACGAATGTTCGCGGCGCTCAGGCGAGAGCCATATGTTGGAACCACCCGCCCTCTATCTTTGGAATCGTTGCACATATTTCGTAAAACGAATGTGCGCGGCGTTGAGGCGAGAGACACATTTTGAAAACGACCCGCCCTCCGTTTTTGAACGTGTTGCAAATGCCCAGCTTCAGGATCATAAGTGGTGAGAAGGGCGCAAGTGAAACGCCCAGGGCGCCCTACCGACGCGTTTGAGTGTGCGACAGGGAAGAGCTAGTTCAAAGGACAAGGGATGGAAGCGGAGGAGGAGGAGGAGGAGGAGGAGAAGGAGGAGGAGGTGAAGGAGGAGCTTCAGCCGAAAGCTGTTTTTGGAGTAATGGGCTGAAAGCCAACTGGAGAGCGAGGAAGCGGATGGGGGACTAGCCAGATGTGTAGGAGGTGGGGGATGGGGAAGTAGGATGGTGGGATGGGTGTCTTTTCAGGTGGAGGGGCAGAAGGAACAGGAGGAACAGGATTGAGAGGAGCAGGACCGTGAACACGAGGAGGAAGAACAGAAAAAGGACGGGGACGAGGGGGCCGCGAAAGCCTACGTTCTCGATAACGCGGTCGCTTATGTTTTTTTTTGCTGTCGTTTGCCTTGCGTGGGTCCGCGTCCGCTGCGTCGTCATGGCAGAATTCCTTATTGTCGTCGTCCCGCCTTCAATTCCGTTTCCTTATAGAGAACTCCTCCTTGTCGCACCCCGAGGCCGGTTGATAGGGCGGGCCAGGCATCTCGTTTGAACCCCCCCCTCACCATGTTTATGATCTTGGAGCTGAGAAATTGGCAACAGTTTCACAGATGGAGGGCCGTTTTCAACATGTGGTATTGGCCGTAGCGCCGCGCACATTCCTTTCAAACATGTGCCAACGTTTCACGGATTGAGACTTGCAGAATGTGGCTCTCGCCTTAGCGACGCGCACATTGATTATCATGGTGTGCCAGAAGTGTTGTTTTGGCACGGTTCAATATCGCCAGGGCGCAACAGTTACGCTGATGCGCGGTGTTGAAGTCCGAGTAGCGATGTTCTGGCACGATTCAGGATCTCCAAGACGTGCCAGTCAGGTTAACTTGTGGCGTTGAAGTCCCGAGAATAATGTTTTGGAACGCTTCCTGATTTTCACACGGTTGCCCCTCTTCGTGGCAATTCTTCCAGTGGAAACGAACACGTGCCGAGGCTTATGAAAAGGGAGTTTGGAGGGAGGGTGTATTTCAACATCGTTGATGAGGCTTGGGTTTGCACTGGTTTCCCCTCCTCCTCCCTCTCCTTTCTCCCACTCCCTTCTCCTTTCTCTCTCTCTCTCTCTCTGTCGTTCTCTCTTTCCGTTTTTCTCGCTTCTCTCCCTTCCTCCCTTCTTTTTTTCTTCTCTCCATCCTCCCTCCTCAACTCTTTCGCCTCCATCGTCCCTCCTCCCTTCCCCATCCTTCTTCCTGCTGTCTCCATCTCTTTCTTCTTCGTCCTCCATCTCCCCTCTCCCTTCCCCTCCTTCTCTCTCCCTCCAGCTCCTCCCTCCTCCCTCTTTGCTTCCTCCTCCTTCCCTTCCCCCCCCCCTCCCCAGCGCCCGAGGAGCTGAGAACGCTGAGGGACATGGCGAAGGACGTCGCGTGCGACATGTACTGCCTGTGGGAGAGGTGCGACGCGGGCAAGGCGGTCGAATTCTTGGGCTTCCTGTCGCGGAGCCTGATCCAGGCCATCAGCGCACAGGACCCGGTGGCGTCGGAGGCGGCCCTGGTGCTTCTCGAGGGCGTCGTGGACGTGGTGGACAGCCCGTTGCCACCCCCTTTCGTCGAGGCCCTCAGGTGGATCCCCAGGATCGCGTGGCTCGACTTGTATCCACATCCGCGAGGGGTATGATGGTGATGATGACGATGACGTAGACGATAGCAATGACCATGACGGTAATGGTGATGCTGTTGTTTATGATGGTGTTGTTGTTGTCGATGATGATGATGATGATGATGTTGATGCCGATGTTGTTTATGTTGATGTTGATGATGGTGCTGATGTTGTCGATTATACTGAGGATGATGCTGGTAATGCTGCTGATGATGCTGCTGCTGATGACGATCTTGCTGATGATGACGATCTTGCTGATGCTGCTGATGATGATGATGATGAGTATGATGCTGCTGCTGCTGATGATGATGATGATGATTATTATTAATTATTAATTGCTCATAATCATCATCATTTTTACTATTATTAGGCTTATTTATTATGAATCGGATTATTATTATCAGTATCAGTATCATTACTATGATGCTGCTGATGATGATGATGCTGATGATGCTGATGATGATGGTGATGATGCTGATGATGATGATACTGATGATGATGATGATGATGATGATGATGATGATGCTGCTACTGATGATGATGATGATGCTGCTGATGCTGCTGCTGCTGCTGATGATGATGATGATGATGATGATGATGATGCTGATGATGATGATGATGATGATGATGATGATGATGATGATGACGTTGACAATGACGATAATGATGCTGACAATGATGATGAATACGATGAGGATAATAGGGAGCTGTAGGCTGTAGGGGAAGGGTCAGCCCAAACCCGAGACGCAGTGGATGCGGATATGTTCGGGCCTCACCAGTGGCCAGAAGTCTGTCCAGATCCACCACGTCTTGGGCTCCTGGGGAAGAGGGCCCGAGAGTCCGAGACGCAGTGGACATGGACATGCACCTTGCCCGCAAGGATGCCCAGCGACGGCAACGCCATGGCGGCGGGGGCCATCCTCCTCCGCCAGGTGAGCGACGCAGTTAAAAAAGGGGTTCGATTGTGTGACACCTGCGCGTAAGCACCCCGCGCAAGCTCGCGCGGGAGCGCCCTCGTTCCCCGCGCTGTGTGCCGCACTGGCGGCTTGCGCTAGACGTGAAGGCGGCGGGCCTCCTCAGAAGCCCTCGCGCCTTCTGAGACGGTTCCCGTGCACGGTCTCCGGGGATGGCTCAGAAAACTCCGCCAAAGGCCGGAGGCCCTTCGAGCCTTCCAAGACGGCCCGCCCCCTCTCACTTCCCCCCGGGCGCGCCGCCAGTAGGACTGTTTCTTCCCTCCTCCAGGTCGCGCCGCACGTGAACGCGCACGTGGAGGTGCTCCCGGACTCGCTGGAGTTCCTCATCCGCGCGCTGCCCGTCATACCGTTCACCGCCGCGGAGCTCGAAGAAGAAGTACCATACATTCAGTATCGCTTCACTGATCCCGCTCCCCATCCCCATTGCGATCCCCACCATCCCACCACCCCAGTTGTGGATATGCCTCTCGAACCCCGAAGGGAGCAGCCTGTATCCCCATCTAGGGGGGTAAATCTGCAGGCGGGGCCTTGGCCACACCGGTGGGAATAGGCATCGGTTAAACGATGCTCATCAACGAAGTTTTTCGTTGGTCCGCGCGGATTTCTTGGAGCTGCGCTGGACCCCCCTGGCGGCGCTTCCGGCGCCCCCCCTCACGCGCTCCGAGATCCAGGAGGGCGCGTTCAGCGCAGATTCAAGAAGTTTGTGCGGACCGTCGGAAGTTTTATGTTGCTCCCATCGTACTTAAGGACCACGTCCCCGAAACAATTTCGAGCACCCGGAAACGCGTCGAACGAGTATCGAAACAATGTCGAAACAGTGTCGGGAGAGTGTATCTCAGGGCCTGACGCGTGAAAACCCTCGAGTTTCGGTATTTGTTTGGTGCTCGAAATTCTTGCTAATGATCAAGGCTACAGTAGGTTGTAACATCATAACGAAAGCTGATGTTTCTGCAATTCTTTCTTCCTCCAGGAGTGCGTCCTGGAGCTCACGGGCTACGCGGGGCACCACCTGGCCTCCGCGCTGCCGAGGTTCTTGGCCGCGGTGGAGCAGATCGCGCCCGGGTTCCCGGTGAAGGCGGGCCGCGGAACGCCAGTTGTGCAGCTGCGCCGGCCTGGGGCAGGCACAGCGGCGGGGCGCCCAGGGGTGGGGAGTGAGCGGGGGATGGGGAGGAGGAGGAGGAGGAGGAGGAGGAGGAGGAGGAGGAGGAGGAGGAGGAGGAGGAGGAGGAGGAGGAGGAGGAGGAGGAGGAGGAGGGATGGAGGAGGAGGGATGGAGGAGGAGGGATGGAGGAGGCTGAGGAGACTTCTGTCTCCGAGGGTGGCGGGGCTTCTCAGAGGCCTTCGCGCCTACTGGCAAATCTTCTGGGCCGTCTCCGAAGCCGCAGATGGCTTATGAGAAGGCGCGAGGGCTTGTGAGACGCCCCGCAGGCTTCTGAGAAGGCCTGCTCCCCCTCGCTTCCCCCTGGGCTCGCCGCCGACTTGAGCATCGATGGGCCAGCACCCGCCCCCATGCGGGGAGGAGATCGGGCGCAGTCGCACGACCGTGAAACTACGGTCGCAACCGCCACCGCGCACAGTAAGTTGACATTCTTCGGGGTAGGTTTGCGAGCGTGAGACGTTCAACAGAGCATGTGCCATCGGAGGCTGGGGGGTGAGATCGCAGTGGAACGGAGGGCCCCCCACCGTGCCGTGTTCGTGTCGTGCGTGCGGGCGAGGCGAAGCTGTGTGGGCGCGCGAGAGAAATGATCCCGCCGTCGCCAGGCCGATTTGATGCAGTGGGCCGCCCCTCCGCCCCCGGTGGGCGCGCGGTGGCCGGGGGTGTCCCGCCGTCCTGTTGGTGTCGCGTTGGTGGCCCGTTGGTGTCCCGTTGCTGTCCCGTCGGTGTTCCGTCGGCGGTGGGCGGGCGGTGGCTGTGGTGCTCCCGCCTTGGTATCGATAGTGAAGTCGACAGTGTGATCGATAATGAGATCGCTAGAACGGAACGGATAGTGATATCAAAAGTGAGGTCGACAGTGAGGTTGATCGCGATATTGGTTGCGCTCGTGCTGTCGGATGCGCAGGGAGGCGATGCCCCCTGGGTCGTGCAGATTTCACTGGGACAGACGATCCCCCCTGGAGCGAGCACAATGGCATCGATCGCTGAATCCATTGATACTAAGACTGGCCGTGCGGTCGATGGTTGATCGATCGAGTGAGATCGACAGCAGGTACAATAGCGACATTACATCGCAGCGCAACATCGCCAGCACGCCTTGGCGCTAACTCGAGGGCGAGTCACCAGCATCGTTATCACCACACCCTTCGCATTTACCAGCAATTGGTTTCCCCCCCCCCCACCCCCCCAACCTCCTTCTCACCCGAAGGGTGGTCGTATAGGTATGTTTCGGGTTAAGGCCCGCATACCTTTGTGTGTACACGTGCGGCTCCCAAGAGATGCCGTTTCCGTCGGGTTATGTGGCACCTGCCCCATTTTGGACGCGGTAAGCGGATGGCGCTGAGGAACGTTGGCCCACGATGGGGATGGGGATAGGTATCCAGCTGCCTACGGCAAGTCCCGCCACCGTGCCTGGGTTGTGGGTTATAAGCCTAGTGGATGTTCGTTGGAATCTCGTGGGGTGCCCGTGGCCTCCCCTTGGAGGCAGTTTTGAGACCTCTTGGGGGCCGTTTCAGGGCCTCTTGGGGGCCTCTTGGGGCCTCTTGGTCGCCTCTTGGGCGCCTCTTGGGGCCTCCTGTGGGCCCTTTTTTGGGCGGAAGGCTCGGAATCTCGATTCGCGTTCCTAATCTGGGGCCCCTGTTGGGGCCATCTTGACTTTAAACGGAGAAGGTTAAAGGCGAGGTATAAATCGAGCATGTACCGCTGCCGTGCCTGGCTCAAGCCGGGCCCGGCCAAATATATGACTGTGCCTCACCGAGGCGCACGACTGGTATCTGAGATCGGAAAATACTTTTCCATTGAAGATGCCCCTTCTATCCTTTACTCCAGATCCCATGCTTCGTCTTGCTCTCTTGCTCATGCGATATGAGCCAAAGCCTGGGATATGGCAACGCTTGAAGCGTAACACATACCTAAGCTTACCAGCATGTTTTCGACTTGGTAGCGGAGCTGGCTACACTCTCGTGTGGCTGGCTCTCGCTCTGATTCCTGTAATCCACGGCACAACTTGGTGGACTACTACTACGGTGGAATACCATGTTGCGCCGGCTCTGCGAGGAGCGGAGCCAGTCCGCGATCGAGCTAGCGGGGCAACCCGCGAACTCGAGACGCTCTCTCCTACTTCACTGCGCTACTTCACTCCCGACTTCCACCAGATGCCAATCGGCAACTCGATCGAGAACGTGGTCACCCTGCGGGGCTACCCGCAGCGGGGCCACCTGCATCCCGTGCCAGTCAGGCGCCTCACGGCTACTACGCCAGAGCCTGACAAACCACAGCCTAAACCAATCACCGAAGCCGAAATGCACATGCGCTGGATTAAGATAACTATCTTCGGCATTCTGTGGGTAATAATGGGATGTGCTGTGGGATACATGCGGCAGGGGATGGACGACACGCGTACTACCGGCCCTTCGTGGGACCCTGCCGGCACTACGCCTTTTCGCGAATACGTTCGCGAAGTACATGCATGGATAAACGTAACGAGCGGCAATATGACGCCACCTCAACAAGCTGCAGCACTACAACGAGGCCTCCAAGGTCTTGCTCGTCGTATCGCCATGCAGGTCCCTTCCCAGATCATCAATTATGGTGTAACTGTCAATGGACAGCCAACGGATGCAGTTACTTATATACTGTACCTATTGAGCACCAAATTTGAAAATCTGGAAGATGAGCGCCAGCTCAACTCTGGCACTGCCCTTATCGACTTTCGCGTCGAAAGGGGCGAGCGAATCGACTCAGTGTTAGCTCGATTCGAGATGGCCCGTGACGAGGCTAACTCTGTTGGCTTTGTCATCCCCAACTTTCAGATCCTAACGCTGATTCTTTTCAGAGCGTTAGGCGTTGGCGCGTCACGAGCCCAACACCTGCTGGAGCCCTTTAATCATCAGATGCCCAGAACACAAGCAGACTATGACAGGCTGCTGACCAGGATGAGGAACTACGGACATGTTGCCGAGCGCTCTCCTGGCAACATTGCGGGTATCTTCACAGGGCACCACTCACATGCAGGTGTCTACGCCACGACTGCGGGGTCACCTGCTGGTCCTGGCGAGCCAAGTCCCTGGGCTGACCCAGCCGATATGCCCAACGAGGCCACTGCCTTCTTAGGGCAGACCGGCCAGGCATCGGCAGAGGCAGCTGAGGCGAACGCCTGGTCGAACTACTCGCCAGGCGCCGCCTACACTGCAAGCCCGCCCTCGGGCACAACCCTCTGGGGCCAAGCGGAGTCATCCGCTCAAGGGTCTCAGCCACCCTCACCGTTTGAATCTGGCACTGACACAGATACCTCATCTGACGATGAGCACAATGGCATAGTCTCTGCTGGTAATGACTATCCAGCGGATGACACTCACCTTTCTGAACAACAAAGAGCGGAAGCCGCTTTTATGGCTTATCGCAAATCAAAACGCCGTTGGAGGCGCTTTATGAAGAAACCAGTCAGAAAAGTGAGACGTGCAGTACGCCGACATTTCAAACGATATGGAAAGGGTCGTGGCAAAGGGGGTCGCAGACGCCGTATGCATGGTAGGGGTATTACTGCTTTCCTCACGTCCTTAACTGATATAGTTTTTGAAGAAGTTCTTATCGGAGGCAAAGGTCGGGGTCGCAGGCGGACCTCTGGTAAGGGAAAAGGGCGGAGGGGCAACCCTAGGGACGCTATTTTTTTTTTTTTTTGTTTTTTTCTTTTTTTTGTTTTTATTTTTTTTATTTTTTTTCTTTTTTTTTTTTTTTTTTTTTTTTGTCGTTTTTTTTTGTTTTTTTTTTTTTCTTTTTTTTTTTTTTTTATCTTTTTTTTTTTTTTTTTTTTTTTTATTTTCTTTTTTGTTATTTTGTTTCTTTTTATTTTTTTTTTTTTTTTTTTTTTTTTTTTTCTTTTTTTTTTTATTTTTTTATTTTTTTTTTTATCTGGCAATACTATGAAGTGTCATACATGCGGTAGTACAGAGCATTTGCGCGATCAATGCCCGAAAGGGAAAGGAAAGGGATCCGTACATTTGGCTCAAAACTCTTTTATGGATGACATAGACTACATTGACTACGAGTTTTACGTCAATCCAGAAGCGGCTCCCGCCGCGGGCTCCTCCACTTATTACGTGATGGCCCGCTACGCTGAAGTGACCGTAGCCCTGGAAGACTACGCGGTGACCCTCTTCGACGAGTTCCACGGCTGGGACGAAGTCGACGAGGTCGCGTTCAATGCCTGGTTCGGTCTTCCAGCGGGGCCACCCGCCGACGACGAGATCTCTGATGCTGAGACCGTCCCGGCGACCGAGGAAGAGCTCGCCGCCGCGCTGGCACCGCAGGTGATTGGCATGCCGTTGCTGCCAGATCTTCCGCGAGCTGGCTCGGAAGCGGGAGACGCTGATGACGAAATGCGGGGCCATCCTGCGTATTCTGACTCCGAAGAGGCCGAAGAGGACTATAAGGACATGCTCCAAGAGCAGGTCGCAGAAGCAATCCGGCTCCTGAGTGCGCCAGCACATCAGCAGATAACCATGAACGACCTGCTGTCGCGCCCAGGGGCCGCAAGGCTGCGTCCATACCTGGATTCGGACATGTCGGCACCTCGGATGCTGACAGCGCTCCAGGCTCTAGCGGGGTCACCCGCCGAAGAGACGCCAGCCACAGCAGCGGGGCCACCCGCTTGGTCTATGGATGTATTCATGCAGGGCTGCGACCAGATGGACCTCAACGACCTCGCGATGGAGCAGCTCAACGACATCGGGTACTTCCGAAGCCCGTATCAGCACGTATTCATGGTCCAGGACAGCTCAGAGGACTCGGAGGACATGCGCCATGCCAAGAGGGACAGACGACCATCGCCTCCCCGAGACTCAGAGCATGACGATCAAAGGCCCATGGAACGCGGCAGTGCGTCAGCGGGGCCAGCCCGCAGAAGGAGCCGTTCAGCTCCA